ATGTATTTTCAAACTAACGTAAATTGCTTAAAATAAATATTATACAAGTAAAAATAGATAATATTTAAAAATAATAATCTCCATTTCAAGTTTACGTGACACAAAAATGACTTGTTGTCTATTGCTATGTCTGGATGTAAAATGCTCTATTAAACGTGCTGACACATAGGCAAAATTACTGGGTTATGGATAGAAATTATTGAAAATCAATTTTAAATTGAATAATGCTACTTGTATTAAGTGGAGGTTATCCCCGTGTGAATTGTGATGTGTGGTGAAATAATATGGCAAATTAAATATTCGAATATGAAACTTACTTTATTCGTACATCGTTTGATGCCATATTACAAAAGTATCCTCCTCACTTTTGTACAAATAACATTGATCGAATTAATTTTGATTATTTTTATAAACAATGCCTCGTAACTAGAAGTCTGTCTATTATGAGTGCTATATGATTGCATAAAATTCTCGGTTTCGAGTGTTATAGAAGAACAAGATGAGAATTTATGATAGCTTTGCTTATCTTCTATTAGGCAATTTATGAATAAAAAATAATTAATAAACGTAATTTAAAAAATATTAATTTTCAAAAATCAGGACGCGTGACTTGCACAATCCTTTCCATTACCGTAAAATAGTTATCTCCTCATAGAGCACCACGTTAGTATATGTAGAGCTTTCAATCTTCACTAGAAATTCGCCACGTGGTGCTCAATTTGAGACGTTAGTGCAGCAAACAAGGTGCCGAATATGAGTGGCTTAAAGTCTCCCATTGTTATCTGCAAAGTGCAAAAGGCCAATCCATATGGATACCCAGCCACCGGATCTTCCGGTGAAAACAATACGAACTGTCTCTTATGGAGGGATGGGCTCTGGCCCATTTGGGGCTTTAACTTCCCTGTTACGCGGAGTATCATCCTAAATGGGGAAAATTTCATATAAATATAAGGGAGAACAATACATAAATAAGGTATTTAAGTATCACCATTTCAAAATTAAGGTTTGAAGTTTTAAATTTCAAAAATCAGGTTTTCATTAAAATTTATTTATAATTTAATTAATTAATTATTTATTTAATTAATAAA